TAAGCAAACGCGCAGTGAAATGGGAGCAACTAGAGTTTATTTTGTCATAAGGTAGTGTGATTATGCATGACACGAAGTATTTGCTAGTCTAGTACTGGAGAAATTAGCGTTTGGATGCGCATTGTGCGGCTTTAATACCCTAACAACTATACCTAACCCTAGCAATACCGTTTCTTGGAGCTAGAATCTTACCAGATAAAATGACGCGTAAGTTCTCAATGATGCTCTAAATGCAAATGTCATTGTATCAAAGAACGCCTTCCAACATCCTGGGGTCCACGTATGACCAAGTTCATAGCAACTATAATGAACATACGGTTCAAACAAAAGTTTACTTATGAGAGACATTGCAAGTGATATTATAATCACATAATCGTGCAGTTCCTCGTTTCTAAACAAGTTCAGCTAGTGATAGACTGGTACTCGCTCCCACCTCTCGGCTTAGTTACTCAATACCACTCGATAACCATCGAGTAATCAAGGTGGGACCGAGTACCAGTCTAAGCTAGTGATTACCTGCAAGATCGAAGCGCCGTGAGGCGGTAGTTTATAGTATTTTAGACTGGAGATAAGCGGCTTTCTCTTTTGGTTATGTGAACTTTGGGTACCCTTATAAAAAGGCAGAGAACCCGTCTATCAGTACCAAGTGCTCAAGTCGTACATGGTAAACAAATTTCTAAATTCTAGTCATGAAATTAATCTACTTGCCACTACTTACGATTCACAGCTACTAGTATTGCTGTAATATTAGTAATATTATAGGCCTACTGTATTTTATATTGTAATAATTTAATTGTAAACTTTACACTGTAAGTGTAATAACTAATATTATCAAATAACAACACCAGCCAGCGTACGTACGCGGTACGGTCTCTATCGTTGGGCGGCCACAGAGTGACACACAGCACAGGCACTTGAAGCGTTTCAATAAAATATAATGCTAAATAAATACGAAATCTATTTACTACCAAAGTCTTAATGTCTCTCTTTCACCTATTATTGACAATTTCCTGTAAATGCCGTCCAAATGCTTATCTACAACAAACACGTATATATATACGTACAGTCGTACTGGCTGCCGCCAAGCGCCATCACTGGCAGCAAGATCAAGCCCGCACGTACAGCACACACGCGGCCCCATTGACTATATATATACAACATTATATTGTACGTTGTATATATATAGTCAATGGGGCCGCGTGTGTGCTGTACGTGCGGGCTTGATCTTGCTGCCAGTGAGCGCCATTGCCGCTGCAGTGCTGCACGCTGACACTTATATATATAGTGACACTATGTCATAGTATATCACTAGATAGGATATCACTAGATAGGATATCACTAGATAGGATATCACTAGTATATCATAGTATGTCATAGATCACTAGTATATATATATATGACAGTTTATGACACTGACACTATATATATAACTATAACTAAGTGTCAGTGTGCAGCACTGCAGCGGCAGCAATGGCGCTTGGCGGCAGCCAGTGTTTGTTGTAGAAGAGCATTTGGACGGCATTTACAGGAAATTGTCGGCAATAATAGGTGAAAGAGAGTATAGAAACATTAAGACTGGTAGTAAATTGATTTCGTATTTATTTAGCATTATATTTTATTGAAGCGCTTCAAGTGCCTGTGTAGTGACAGACTCGGATTCCTACGGCTTCGGTAGTAGCCCCTCGTTCATGAAGGGGCCAAGGTGGTCATTTTAGTTTACCGTCCGTCATTGGTCATCTCGTGAATTCCTGTTTGATCAACGGCTTCACAAGATCACCAATACAGATCGATATATAGATCCTGATTCATTTGGTTGAGCCCAGTCCCTGGGAAATTTTAGGTGAATCCAATGTACATAGTCAGTTACGCTGAAGGGGTCGTTGTCGCATCAGGTACTACATATATGTACCCGAGGTACATATATGTATACACAAAGTGTACCAGACTTGTACTACAGAAGTGTACCCTAACCCTAACCCTAACCCTAACTCTAACCCTAACCCTAAACATACCTCATATAAAAGTATAAACATAATACTAAACAACCTAAAAGTAAAACTACCTCGGGTACATATATATGTAGTACCTGCATGATATGACAACGACCCTTTGTGCGTAACACTTGCTATTTTTATGATATTCCTAGTCGTATGACCTCAAAAAGTTCTGATGATTCGTAAAGTTCGTATGATTCTCCAAAAGTTTTGAATTATGAATTGTAATTGTAAAGTAATAAAAATTTAATTAAAATATAATTTTGGCTCACATCTGAACCAATGGGAGAAATCAAACAAACAAAACACCTATA